CATATGATTGTTGGGTTTTTCTCTGTATCTATGAAGCGCCTTGAGGCGACTTTTGTTGTGATTTGGCGCTATATAAATAAAATTGAATTGAATTGAATTTTTCATCCCCGGCTCAAACTACCATCAGGTTCCTTACCTCCAATTTTTTTCTGGGGGAGTACTGTGGTGTATCTTTAAGACCGACTAAGGCTCTCAGTCCATTTGTTTGTCTTCGCCACTTCCAAACAAGAGTTGCTCCACCTGAGACAGCAACTCTTCAGAACTTCAGAAGGAGGAAGTCTGTGCTACTCCACTCAGGCAAGTCTGCTGGCCAGACAGGATGAGTCCCCGTGTCCGCAAGGCCTGTGCAGCCCAGCCTTATGGATTCTTTAAGAAACTGTTCATGTTGAGTCTGAGTCTGCAGAGGGTCCCATTGCGGTGGACGACATCATGCCTCGTTCCTGTACCAAAGATGCCACGTCCCAGTGGCTCCAGGGTTTCGAGCCTGTGGCACTGACTTTCCACGTCATGACGACCCTGGAAAGAGTCATCCTTGACCAGCTTCCAACCTATTGTCAGGCCACATCAGCATCCCCTTCAGTTCTCTTACCAGCTTACCAGAGCTGAGGACACCATCGTCTGCCTGCTCAGTCGTGTCTATGCCCATCTGGACCAGCCAGCGAGCACAGTGAGGGTCATGTTTTCAATAACATCAGGCCGACCCTACTGGGTGATAAGCCCACAGCAATGCAGGTGGATGCCTCTCTGGTGTCCTGGGTTGTTGATTACCTCACAGGAAGACCACAACATGTGTGTTGCACAAGGTTAGCAGCAACACAGGCGCACCACAAGGGACTGTCCTCTCCCCTTTCCTCTTCAACCTCTACACCACAGACTTCAGCCACTGCACAGAGACCTGCCATCCTCAGAAGTTTTCTGTTGACTCTGTGGTGGTTGTATGCATCAGTGAGGCGATGAGATGGAGTACCTGGCTGCGGTTGAGGCCTTTGTAAATGGTGCACACAAAATTATCTGCAACTCAACGTGACAAAGGAGGAGGACCAAACCTGTGACGCCTGTTTCAATCCAGGGAGTCGATGTGGACACTGTGGTGGACTACAAATACCTCGGAGTACACATGACAATGCCCAATATTTTTATGAGTCTGTTGTGGCTAGTGTCATCCTCTATGCTGCATTCTGGGGCAGCGAGTTGTGGGTGACAGATACCAACAGTGTTGGTCAAGTTACTTGAAAAAAGTAATCGGTAACTAATTACCGATTACTTCCCCAAAAAAGTAATCCCGTTACTTTACTGATTACTTATTTT